GAATTAAGCCTGAGGACAAGCCAATAACTAAGGCCAAATGTAAGATCGAAGGTTGTCAAACTCAATATGTATGGCATAGTTCAACAACTAATATAGTCAACCACCTATGCAATGTTCATCATATCACAAAAACGTTGCTTGAACATAGTTCAGTTGAAGATCTTAAAAAATCTTCTCAACAAACCATAGAAACCACTTTATCAAAACCTTATTCAGTATCAAGGCAACAGAAGCTTACATGAGACGTTATCATATTTTTTATTTTCTGCATACTTCCCTTATCTTTAATAGAAAATAAAAGTTTTCGTATCTTTTTAAAATCATTTGACTCTCAATACAAACCACCATGCGTTAATACAATTAAAAATGAAATTGTAAATGGAACAAATCATACAACTCAAATTATTAAACATATGCTTACACAAACAAATACAGTATCACTTACATTTGATTTATGGACTTCCCGAGCATATGATTCTTATCTAGGTGTAACCTGCCACTGGATTTCAGATGAATTTCGCATTTATGATCTTATATTAGGTGTAATCGAAATGGGTGCATATAAAACCGCTGATGATATCATTGATTCTATTGGACCTATGCTTGAAGAATTTGGTCTAGAAGAAAGTAAAATATTAAGTATAACTACAGATAACGGCTCTAATGTCAAATTAGCTGTTACACGATTATCAGCAAGACTTTCAGTATCAAATCCAATTGCTAATATTTTTTGTGCTGCACATACGTTGCAGCTAAGTGTTGAAGCAGGTTTAGAGGTTGCACACATCTTACTTACAAAATGTAAAGCATTAATTTCACTTTTAAGTAGAGAAAAAAAAAGAAAACAATTAAGAGAAGCTCAATTCAGGGTAGGCATATTAAAAGCTAACATAGTTGATGTAATAACTGATGTAGCAACATGGTGGAATTCCACCTACATGGCTCTTGAAAGGCTTGGTGAGCTCAAACGGCCAATTAAATGGCTAACCAATGACCTTGAAAATTCAAACAACAATGATCATCATCGTGATGGTGTTAATATTCGTGACAAGTTATTATCAAATGAAGAATTCAATGTTGTATGGGCTCTTGTTAAACTTTTATGCCCATTTGATAAGGCCATTGAAATTCTTTTCGGATCGAATTATGCTACATTAAGTATCATGGTTCCAACAATTGAAGAATTAGTTTATCAGCTAAATAATACAAATATTGATTTCAGTATTGTAAATGAGGTAAAAAAAGAAATTTTATCTAACCTGTCAAGTCGATGGTCCCAGCCACATGATTATGGAATGTATGCGTCTTTACTTGATCCCCGATTCAAGAATCTATCTTTCTGTTCAAACGTAGGTATATTATATCTGATATATTTGTGAAATAATACAGCGGATATTTGTGTTATTTTACGAATATACAGTTAAACCCTTAAATAAAATTTTTTAAATACTATTTTGTAAAATAATATAGGTTTACTAATTTCTCCCACACTTCTGATTGGCTGTACTAATTATTCAATTATCAAAATATTTATATTATTAATCAAAAAATTTGTCAAACAAAAATTTGTGCTGTTAGGCTAGAGTTAGTATTTTGCTATTAGGTTATGATTAGAAAACATTATTTATACCAAACTTTACAAGGAAATTGTTTTATTAGTGCACAGAAGACAGTTTCATAAATTGAATTTAGAGTTATAAGCAATTTTTGCAAATTTACATTTTTTTTTTGTGCTTCTTTTACATTACACCTAATTGTGAAATTGGATTGGCTTTGATAAGTGAACTATTAGTACAGCCAATCAGAAATGTGGAGAGAAATTAGACTCAAATAATGAGTGTCGCAAATCTAAAACCTGCAAATCTTATCTAATAAGATTTGCAGGTTTAGTTTTGCAGCACTCATATGGTTGCATTACATTATATTTAAAAAAAGCCTGATTAAATTTAAATCTTTTTAAAAATATTTACTATTTATGGATCTTAGATACTAAAACAAAGAACGATTGAAGGGCTACGAAATCAGTTCAATGAATTAAGCAGAAGTATAAGTCAAGTTGAAAATAACACAAGTCCATCTAGAGAAGAGGCTGTAAAAGAAACAAAATCAGCAATGAAAAGCTTTTTCTCTTTGGTCCGGCAGCAGCGTGATGAATTTATAGAGCAAACAGAAATTGACAAATATCTTATGCTTTCTGAAATTGATCCAACAGAAAAAAATGATCCATTAATTTGGTGGAAACAGAGAAGATCAGACTTTCCAATTCTTTGCATACTTGCAAAAAAATACTTTGCAATTCCTGCTTCTTCTGTTTCTTCAGAACGCTTGTTCTCAGATGCCGGAAATCATATAACTTCCAAACGAAACCGATTAGACCCCTACCTCTTGCATCAATTATTGTTTTTAAAACGAAATCTTACTTATCTGGATATTTTCTCCCAATTAAATAATTTTATTTTATTGTTTTTTTTTTTTTTACATTTATTCGCCTGTAAGTGTTGAAATTATATTTATTAGAATGGTACTTAACAAATTTGGTTAGTACATTGTAGAAGTCGAATTTACCCACTCAGCAATCGGTGTGGCACAGTCGTTCAATTTTTTAAATTGTTAAATTTATTAAATATATTAAAAATATTAAATTCATTAAATAGAATAGATTTACAAAATTAAAAAAAACAATAAAATAGAAGAAAGAGTGAATCGAAAAAATTAGTGAATTTATTTCATATGTAAAAGCTTAGTATATAAGTTATCAATATTTATCTTGAATAAAAACAGTTCTTGGAGTTATAACTTAAAAAGTAGTAAAAGTATCCAAGCAGTATTAGACCCTTTGTAACTTTGTAACAATGTTTTTCAAAAAATAATCATATTTTACTTGTCTCCGTGACTCTCATTAGCCCATTATCGTTAGGTAGTAAGAAATAAAAAGGAAAAGATCGCATTAATAATCAAATCCCTTTTATAGAAAAATCCAGCGATTCTGTGATTTCGGCATCCTTTGATGCTGAAATAAGTCACCTGATTTGAAATAAGCAGTATACCTAAATAAAGTAAAAATATAGCAGAGGCATTAGTATAAGGCAACATATTAAGTGCAATAAATACACACCTAAAGTAAAAAGTAATACTTATCCAAGTACTGGTAATAGAGCCGCAAGATCTAATACTGGTTAAAAAATTAAATTTTAACTAAATAATACCTTGTAAATATATAGTACAAATTATAACTTA